CTAGTGTATTGATAACATTAATGGAGAAGTACATCTACAGACATGTACCTGTGTGAAGAGATGCATGGAAAAATGCTCACTGTGGTGATAATAGTGTTTCTTTTACTTATATTTTTTCTGTCTCATTGGTATTTATTTCACTATAAATACCATTTTTTTGTATACACTTAGCCTCTTCAACTGCCAAAATACACACACCCACACGTACGTACAAACAGTGCAACCCCCTGATACACAAACCCAGAAACACACAGAAAAACCACAAACATACATACTCCCTTAGGAGGCAGAAACTCAGTGCAGATGTGACCCAGCCTCGGGGACATTGAGAACGTGCCTGCTTAGAATGTTTAAACCTCAGGCCATCTCTGGCTCAAAGCCAACAGCCGGGTGGGCAGGCACACTGCCAGCCCTGGAACCAGGAAATGGCACCCCTGTTCATCCAGAGCTCCAAGTAAACAACCAACCTGGGCGTCTGGAGACAGATTCCGTATGAAGTGCAGACCCTGCAGGAGAGGTGGACTGTGCCAATCTTCAACCCACGGAGGTGAGGAGCAGAGGGCAGGAGGAATACGCAGGAATTTGGAAAGTTAACTGCCTTCCTGACCAAGATTTTAAGAGGAAAAGGAACTAACTAGTTTCAGAAAATGATTTGCTTTTAGGTCCCCAAATTCAGGAAATGCAGGAGGAACTGGATGGAGGGAGCTAAATCCCACATTTTCATTGGAAACTTTTCTTTCTTCCAGTGAACAAGAAAACTTGCACTGACTTTTGAACTGGCCTTAGTGTTTAGGCCTCAGTTTTGCTGGAGTTTAATATCAACCTTGTTATATAAGCAGTCCGCTCCTTGGCAGAGTGTAATGTCACCAAGAAAAATCAAGTGTCACAATGACTTCCAGAAATGAAATCTGCTTTCTTGTTACAGGGATCAGATGATGTCAAGAAGTACCAGGACAGAAATGAGGCCGATTTCTGGACTCTTGAAGCAACCCTGAGCTTTGGAGAAGAATCTGGGGAGATTCAAAGCAAATAGAACAGAGCCTTGTCCAGGGTAAAGACCCTCAAAGGGGACACGCTGGTGCTCTGGTGCCAGTACGTGGTCTACATTCAGGTTGGGGAGATCACCGTGTCAGGGAGCACCAAAGGTGCCCAGCTTAGGCCAGGAAAGGAAGAGGGAATTCCTTTGTCTAAAAGGACCTGATCTCTCCTCTCAAAAAGTTTACATTGTAGTTAAGGATACTAGATGGGCACATGTGGAAACAATTAAAAGAAAATTTCCAGTGTTCTGTTTTGAGCAGTAGAGATCCTAAAATGTTGAAGAAGTTTGAAAAATATAAAACCAGGGCCACCATATACAAAACCTGTACACAGGGGCTGTATAGTATATGACCTATACAACCGCATCTCTTTCAGGACCAAGAATTTATGCTGTACAACTTAACACTGAGTTACATAGAGTACACTTCATGCATCATTGGTGATCTCAGTCAACCACCAGCTTAATGAAGGACCATTTTGGCAACCAGGGAAGGAGCAGTTGTAACATTAATAATCAAAATTTGGGGGCTGAGGTTGTAGCTCAGTGGTAGAACATTTGCCTAGCATGTGTGAGGCACTGGGTTCCATCCTCAGCACTGCATATAAATAAATAAAATAAAGGTCCATTGATAACTAAAAATATTTTTGAAACAAAGAAAGAAAAAAAAGAAGAACTAGTGCTGCTTTAAAAAAATAATAACCAAAATTTTACTACCTTACAGCCTCCCTATCAAATCAAGGCCTCAGCCCTTCTTCCAACACCTCCCAATTTCCTAGTTCTTTCTTTTTTAATTGAAAAATAAGTAGGTATCACAAAATTTACCCTTCTAAAGTATAAATTCAGTGCCTTTTAGTATATTCATAAGGTTGTATAACCATCACCACTATCTAGTTCCAGAACATTTTTATGACTGAAAAAGAAACCCAACACCCATACAGTGATTTCCTGTACCCACCTCCTCCCAGCCCCTGACAGCCACCAATCTGCTTCCTGACTGTATGGATGGTCTGTTGGGTATTCCATATAGATGGAGCCATATGACCTGAGGCCTTTTGTATCTTTTCTTAACATCATGTTGTCAAGGTGCATCCATGTTGCAGCATGTTTTTGGTGCTTTCTTTATTTTCCCAGTTATTTCTGGACATCCCAGGTGATGGCTTCCAAGTGCTAAGACTTGAGTCTACCATAGACATCTATCTGCTCCCCAGAAGCCACTTGGAGGAAGAACCTCACAGCTGCTACCTCTGTCAGTTCTGTCTTCTGGTTTTCAACGAACTTTAAATCCATCAGTTCCTCTCTTCCCTGCAATGGAGATAGTGTCTGTCCAGACAGGGACATTGTCTCTCTCCCTAGCTGAGCGCTGCTTTTGCTCCTAGTCTGTAGGTCATCTGTACTCCTAGCTTTTGGTCACACGTTTCTGGTTCTGAAGGCAGACCTGGTTTTCCATTTCCCCATCTTTCTCATCCTGATTCTAGAAACCTGCGCTGGGAGGAAGCCCAAAACTAAACAAAACTTTTATCTTCATCTGGGTTTCCCCAAACACATCCTAAGACAAGAACTGGTGTGAAATTGATTTTTTTAAAAGGGAAAATCAGTAAGAGAGTGAGAAAGTGGGACAGGGAACATGTGAAATCAACAAGGATGTGAAGTCCACAAAGGGTAACTTGAGCTCAATCCCACAGAGTAGTGACAGACCTCAAGGTATGGTGTTTATCCTCTGCATCTGTCAGTCATTGGTTAAGAGCTGTTCTCTGGGCAGGTAAAGTACAGACCCTTCAGTTTTCTGTGGCACCAGGCAAAAGGGGTCCTGGCAGGCTGAGAGCAACCCTTTGACGTGGAGATACTGGTGCCACTGTTAGCAGTAAAAGCATACATTTCTGCTTCATTCCTTTGTGAGGTCCCCTTTTCTCACAAACATATCATCAGAACCTCCAACCTCATCTAGCACAGTGCCAACACTTGGTATATGTTGACTGACTAATGGATAGAAAGAGACCTCACCAGAGGCCAAAAAGTAATTTTCTTTATGGTCATAAATATCAATCATTTGAAAAAACAGAATACATTGTATACATCCCTGGCTCACTCTTTTCCACTTACTGTACACTTGGGCATGTGCAAAAGAAAGTGAAGCCAATACCTGTTACACTGTTGATGTAAAAGAAGGTAACTTAGAGGCTGGGAAAAACCTGCTTATGAGAAGTTACAGGTGAAAAACCTGATTGTCAACGAAGAGCTCAGTGTTTGATAAGCCAGGAATTCGGGCTAATGTACTATGTGCTAGAGATTCCTCTTGGGTGTCTGGAATGAGTCTCATTTTCTTCTTTTCCATGGTGCTCTGATTGGGCATGCTCCCGAGTCTCTGTTTTTCTGTTTCCTCACCAGCTCTGCCCACTTCCCAAGGTGATGGAAAGATGAAATCATAAATGTGAAAGGTCTTGAGAAGCACAAGTTGCTCACAAATATAATATAGATTTTAAATGGCTTTTGACTTTTTAAAGGGGGTCTTGGGCAACAAAGAAGAAAATCCTAGAACAGTGAGGCTGAGAAAGTACCCTTGGGCATCCTTGGGTACCAGCTGAGTCTCTGTGGGAATTGACCCGTGATCCCAGGCCTGACCAGAGAYGGTACATGCATTAACCCCAGCATTAGCTGTGACATTAGACCTTCCAGGTGACAGCTGGGCTAATCATTAAAGGGACTCCAACAGAACAGAAGTTAAGAGAGAAGGCAAAGGGGAATGTAAGAAAGGGTGAGTTGGAGAAGCCAGAAATAGAAGAAAATGTGTGTGGGGTAGAGAGGAAGAGACAAGTGTAAGACAGAGACAGAAAAAGATGTGGAGTAAACTGATAAAGAAGTGGAGATGAAGGAGAGAGGAAACAAGAGGAGACAGTTCCGGAGATGATGGGCACCACTGGCAGCTGCTCCCGTGACATCCATGACATGCACTCCTCAGGCACTGGTTCCATGGCAGATGCCACACTCAACACATTCTCGTCAGAGCCCTGCTCTCAACTCTTGGTATACCTGCCCCAATTATTTCAGGGAGAAAAAGTTGAGGAGGGTCTCCAAGGCAACCCGATCTTGACTCCTCCCACCCCAGGTCTCCTGCAGGCCTTGGGCAGAAGGTGGCCAGCACAACCAGAAAGTAGAGGGTATGACCCAGCCAGCAAACAGAGGGCTCTCAGTTAGTGTGCCAGCCTGTAAATTGTCCTTTTGTTTTGCAGGCTTTACAGAACATGGTTTTATTTCATGTGACTGTGCTATTTCAGGAGGAGTAAATATTGCCGGCGGTCTGTTTAAAAAGGCCAATGACCTGAAATGTTTTTTTTTTTTTAATTTTTTTTTCTTTTCTTTCCCGTTTGAATCATCTCCAAGAAGCAGGCCTGCCCAAGCATCATGCAGTTTTAATTTGTTACCTTTCAATTCCAACCTTCCCTTTTTGTCTTATGATATGTGAGGCTGACCAACAAAAGGGGGCAAAGATATAGAGATAAAGAGGTGAAGTGCTGGCCCAGGCTTAGGGACAGAAGGAAGAGATGTCCAGGGTGTCACCGGAAGAGCGCAGGGAGTCCTCAGCTTTCTGCTGCCTTCACTGCTTCCGGAGCTGGTGTTTGACCTATAATTATAGTCTCTTTCCACTGATTTCCTCTGTGAAAATAGCAACATTCAGACTAAGTGCAGTGTAGGAAAAAAAAAAACACTACATAAAGAATCAGGGATTTATAAATACAGTTAAAATTACAGGATTGTTACCCCCATGGTTTAGTTCTCTAAAGAGGGGGCTGGGAAGAGAGAGCACAGTTCTTCAAACTTGACTCAGGTCCTAAAATACCCAGGTGTGACTCTTTGGGAGGCAAGTCAAGCAGAGATTCACTGCAGGTTTCTCCCCCCCACACACACACTGAATGCAAAAACATTGTTTTTCAAAACAAGAAGAAGAAAAAGAAGGCTGTTTTTGGCCAGGATTTTTATTTGACTTCTTGAGGATTCTCACTTGCCATTTATTTGTTCAGTTTCTTCTCATCAAACTTATTATCTCTAAGAACAGAGAGGGGGAGAGGATAGCTATGTCTTGGCCCTAGACCTGTCTGTCTTCTGGGGCCTTCATTCATTCCCTGGGGCAAACAATGTGTTCATGTTGGAATTTTCATTTTATGTGACCCAGCACTCTGGTCCCAGCTGGTCCACACTGGCCCTTTTGAGGGCTGTCTTAACTTGGAGCAGATGAGAAATTGTTGGCTAAGTTCAATTCTGGTGATGGAGACAGATGGAAATACAGGCATGGGAATGGAGACAGCCTCTCTGCAGTGAAAGAGAAGGAAGCCACCGTGAGTAAGGAAAAGAGATGAGAGACAGAGACAAAGGTTTGGTGCCCTGAAGTCTCTGGTTCCTGTGGTTCCCAAGACTTGGATCCATGTCCCCCTAGCTTTTGCTCAGTTCGGAGAGTCAACTTTTACATGGATTTCATGAGCTAGTACTTTCCCTCTTTTGCCTGAATTGGTTCATGTGGGAGTTCTGATGTGTGTGACCAAAAGTCTTAACATAATAGTGCAAGTGCAAAGAATTCTGCAAAGAAGTTGACAAAGCAATAGTTTCATTGCAACATCTGAAGTTGGTTTCACAAGGATTAAGGGCACACTGCTCTACTTTTCAGAAAGACAAGTGTTAAGAGAAGAATGAATTTATCTCAAGTAGCATTTATGACCCAATAATTGAAAAAGAGGAGGAAACTGGGAGGGAAGCCCGGGGGCCTGGCCTCTGCCTTCATGTGACTCACCTACAAGCTTTCCAGATAGCCGATCTCCAGAAAAGGCTACCATATTTACCTTCCCATCGCCCGTGACATTGTCTTAACTCTCACTGTGGAATCTGCAGTTGGCCACCGAGGAGAGCTGCAGAGCTGACTGACCATCTTCAGCATCACTGTCTTTCCTGTGCTTAGAGTTGACACCTCCCTGCAGAGTGATCCCAATACTCTCTGGGCGTCAGCGAAGCAAATGTAATGGCCTGGCATGATGGTGTAGAAAATGTCCTACACTGGGAATCTTAGCACTTGGATTGCAGCCCAAGTTTTGTCACCCACCATTTACAGGAACAAGCTAAGACCCTGGATCTAGCTTCTCATCTGCTAAATAAGGAATTGGGCCTGATGATCTCTGAAGCCCCTTCCAGCTCTCATATTCTAACTATTAAGTCAACTATGGGCCTAGAATTTTTCTCTACAATGACCAGTATTTGCTTACCACCAAAAATAGGATAAGAAAGAAAGAGAGAACAACAAATCAATTTTTAAAAAATATTTAAGGTGATATGATTTTTTTTTAGAAAACTCAGGTTATTTCTAATATACCATTAGGTTTTTAAAAAATAACAGGTTTATTGTATAAAAAATGCAAATACAAATAAATACAAATAAACAAAAGAACTTAATCTAACCTGTAATCCTTCAGAGATAATATCTGTTAATGTTTATGTATATAAATTAAAATACTTTCTATAAGCATGTTATAGAGGGTATCACCCAAATTTTATGTATTAGGAACTTAATCCCCAAAGTCATATAGTAATTATATTTGGAGGTGGGGCCATTGGGAGGGAATTAGGATTAGATGAGGTCATGGGGATGGGGCCTTTTTATAAGAAGAGAAAGTGGAGCTAGCATGATTCCTGTTTCTCRMCATGTGATACCCTCTACCATGTCATGATCCAGCAGGAAGGCCCTCACCAGATGCCAGGTGAGGGTGGAACCATGCTGTTGGACTTCCAGAAACATAMGGTGAATAAACTTCCATTCTTTATAAATCACCTGGTCTGTGGTATTCAGTTATAGAAACAACAACAAAATAGCCTAAAACAACATGCAAATACATTTTTTCTTTATGAAAATAGGATCAGACTATCCATTCTGTTTTTCAAGTTGATCTTGACATTTAACAAAAAATTGAAAAAACATTTTTTAATGTTAAAACATATACTTACATAGCATTGACTTCAATTGCTATATGGTAATCTGGTGTTTGGGGGGACCTGAATTTATTTAAATAATCTCTTATGGCTGGATAGTTGGATAGATTTATTTTTCGGTAGTATTACCAATATTATAAACATACCTTGTGAAAACATGTATGTTTTTTCAGGCTTCTGAGTGCGCAGCAAGCAGCAACTCAGCATGATTAGGGAGATAGAGGTATCACACCMCTTCTTTGTGGATTCCTGTGTTGTGCAAACTCTCTCAGGTTGCAGCGAATGATTTGATTTCTCTCTACCATGCACCCTCTACCATTCCAGTCACAACTGATTGCACTGCCATCTACTTCTCCTGTAATGGAGCTATCTGGAAGCAGACCAAAAGCCTCTGAGGTGTCTGGCAGGAGACCTATTCCCTAAGACAATTTCATATTCTGGCTGGACACTGGGCAAGCTGAACAAATTCTCCCTCAGGGCATTAAATGCAACTATGAGCAGCCTCAGTAGCAAGGGCAGGAGCAGACATGGTGCTGGATTCAAGGGTTGAACCCCATCAACTGAAGCCACCAGTGAGTCCCTCACAACCCGAGAAGAAGAAATGTCTGCCAGTGTGGTTCCCAGAGCCACCTTACCTGACTCCAGGTGACTGAACCAGGAAGATAAAGGTGTGACCTTCTGGAACCTGAGAATCTGGAGCCTGACTCCATCATTTCTTACCTGTATGATCTTTGGCTCGTCCCATCACCTTCCTGTTCCATGTTTCTCATCTGAAAATGAGAATATTGAAACCTACTACAAAAGATCACTATGGCAAATAAATGGGGGGGGGAATATATATATATATATATATATATATATATATATATATATATATATTCCTTTAGAAGAATGCCTGTCGTACAGCTGATATTATCATGCCTCTGCCAGCAAGCTGGATTGTACCTAGAATCTCAGGAGTTTAAAGGGTCTCACAGGTCACTGATATCCACAAGGACAAACTAACGACTTCAGATATCCTAGTATTAGTTTACTCTGTAAGTGCTCCTGATTCCTCCAGCAGATTGGTGAACTCCTTGAGTTCATGGCCATGTCCACTGTGCGTTGCACAGGGCAGTGCTCAATCTGTGACGGATTCTGCTGACTGGTCGGAAAGCCTTCTCCTTGCAGACCCAGCACAGCCGGTTTGGACCAGTGTAGCGGGCAGCTGGGCCAACAGCCTAGCTCCCCTCCCCCCAGGGCAGCCTTCCAGAATCAGTGCTCCCTGGAGGGCAAAGCACCAGCAGCCCTCACAGCAAGCAGAAACCTGGGGCTGTATGCAGAGCCAAAGCCTTGCSACTGGAAGTTGCCCAGCAACTACCATCACTCCAGTTTCATGTTAGCTGTAGAAAAGTCTTCTAAACAGGACAGCTAGAACGGAAGGAGCTCCACAGCACCCACAGCAAGTTTAGAATTCAAGGTTTCAATGGGAAGAGATTCAATTTGCTTTTAACATTACTTAGTGCTGGATATTCTACTGGGTGTGTTGCATAATCATATTAACAGCTAAGACATAGCACAACCACCTGATGACTGCTATGCCAAGCATCTTACACACACTAACTCATTTAATCATTATCAAAAACCATTGAATTGGACTGGGAATGTGGTTCAGTGGTAGAGTGCTTACCCAGCATGCATAAAGTCCTGAGTTTGATCCTTAGCACCAAAATAAAAAAATAAATTGAAGTTAGATAGTAAATTCACTTCATTTTACAGATGATAAAACTGAAGCACAATAATTCGTTCAAGGCCTTACAGCTACTAAATGACATACCTGGATGTGCACATAATCCCTATTCAAAAGCTTTACAGTTCAAGTTCAACTAGGATCAGGTATGCATGTAGACATTTAATTCTTATGGTATCACTACTAGTGAGGCTAATGCGGTTCCATTCTATGGATGAGTAAACTGAAGCTCCGACAGGTTAAATATGTTCAAATCACATAACTAACAAGTGGCAAATATCGTGCCAACTTTGTCTAGCTCCACCATACCATGGCACAGGAAGAAAACCTTGTAAAATGACAGGAAAATACTCAGTGAGTTTGCAAAGGAGGTGATGTAAGATTACAAAAGTTGGGAATGTGTAAATCGAGTCTGCTGGAGGTAGAACTCAGGCCCAGCAAAGGGTGGAGGCTCTAGACCCAAACTTCTGTTTATCTGTCCTGTAGCTACTTTCAAACCACACCAATTAGCCAGATTGGTAAAAAGATTTAAGTCTGTTAGTGGCAAATTTCTAAATGCCTTTTAGACAGGTGAACCTTGCAATGCTGGGAGGAAAAAAAAAAAAAAGGCTCTTAATGCAGCCAAATCTCAATTGGAAAAATCTCAAAACTCTTCTCACCCTCCCACTCACTTCCTAAACTATCTTATTTGGGAGAGGGGGTACCAGGATTGAACTCAGGGGCATTTGACCACTGAACCACATCCCCAGCCCTATTTTATATTTTATTTAGAGACAGGGTCTCACTGAGTTGCTTAGCACCTTGCTTTTGCTGAAGCTGGCTTTGAACTTGCCATCCTCCTGCCTCAGCCTCCTGAGCCACAGGGATTACAGACATGCGCCACTACACCTGGCACTATCTCATTTTTTTATCTTCTTATCTCCTCTGCCCTTGAGGTTTTTCAGCCCAGCTTCAAGTTATCTGTAATTCCAGGTAGTTGCAAACCTAGAGTCACATACCTGCAAGGAGCCTCAGAGAGGACTCACTGCCTTTGTCTGTTTTAAATCTACTTCAAGGGCTGGGGTTGGGGCTCGGTGGTAGAGCACTTGCCTAGCATGTGTGAGGCACTGGGTTCAATTCTCAGCAACACATATAAATAAATAAAGTCCACTGACAACTAAAAAATTATTTTAAAAAAATCTACTTCAAGCAATAGTTACTTCTCTTTGGATGTTTAGTCATTTTCTCCCTGCCTGAAGTAGGTCTGCTCATTAGTGGGGCTGAGTGACCGGCTAGTGGCAGAGTTATTTTAGGCCTCTGGAGGTAGCTCCTTACAAATGACTTTGTTGGCCAATCCCCTACTACCACCACCAGCAGCCCAGGTCCTTATGGGAGGATCAGAGGGTCTATCCCGCCTTTTCCAAACCCAAAGGTACTCTTGGAAGGATCACCAGGAGTATAGAAATAAATAGGATGTATTCAGAAACTCACACGAAGATAACAACAATACCAGGGGACTGTCAATAATCTGGAACACCTGTATGAACTTGCAAAGCAGAAACTATCGGTGCCTTCAGGGGTCCAGAAACCTCACCAAGGAAAAGGCCCCAGGAAGGAACTGGGGCCCAGAGAACCTGCAGGCCTGGAAGGCAGCATGGTTTTTCCATTGAAGGCAGGTGGCACAGGTTTTGCAATCTGACCTTTCCCCTGCTACCCGTGAGACTACAACCACAGACACACCTTGGCATTCCCAGGCTTTATTTTCATTGTACAGGTGTCTGGGTGGCTCCCCACAATAAAGAGGAAATGAAATGATGACTATAAAATTAAATTGTATTTTAGATCGATCTTTATCATCTTTTCCAGGCACTAATTGATTATCTCGCTCCTTGCAGATTGACTGAGTGAAGTCTGACCAATAGAATAGAGCCATATGCTGAGCTCAGTGTCTCCCAGTCCMATCCCCGAGGTGACTGCCTTCCCAGTTGTGGCACTGCTGATGCCCGAAGCTCCCAAGATAACGATTTGTCTATGGCACCACTAGGCAAAACAGGACACCAATAATCTTAGTTGCACATCAGTAGTTTCTCAACAGAAGTTAACAGCAGGTACTAATTCAATGTCTACTAAGTGTCAGATACTCTGGTGAGTGCTCCAGGTGCATTAGCCAATGAATCAGTATGTCACCGCCATTTTACAGATGAGAAAATCACAGCGTAAGAGGTTAAGTCACTGCCATTGACTGGTGAACTGAAAGACTGCCTCATTACTGACATCTYCCATGCACCTTGAACAGGCTAGACCCAGGAAGATGTTCAACATGAATTCTTAGCCGGGCATGTGGCTCAGTGGTAGAGTGCTTGCCTAGCATGTGTGAGGCTCCAGGTTCCAACCCCAGCACTGCAAAGCAACCACAACAAAAAACAACAACAAAATATTAAATGGATGAATGGACAGGTTCTAAATGGTGCAGCAAAGCTCAGAAAGGAAAATGTAAACAGGGAAGCAGAGAGGAATATATTCTGCAGGCTAAGTAGAAGAGCTGTGGTAATCGACAGTTGTTTCAGCCTTCCCTTTCTCTGTGTATTTATCCCATTGAGCATTTTGAATGGGAAGTGTCTAACTACTCTGTGGGTGTACGTACTGGTTGCTAATTTTGGAACACTTGTGAATCCTGGGTCCAGAGTCATGACCAAGACTGGTGAGTCATACTCCCCATGCAGAGCACCTCCACATAGGCTGTCAGGATAACCAGCAGTCTCCAGTGTGTCCCCTGCTCAGGCTGTGTCATTTTACCTTCTTTTTTAAAATAATATTTTTTTTTAGTTGTTGACAGATCTTTATTTTATTTATATGCAGTGCTGAAAATCGAATCCAGTGCCTTACACATACTAAGCAAGCGCTCTACCACTGAGCTACATCCCAACTCTCATTTTACCTGAAGCTGAGGGTGGGGTCAGGGTAACAGCAGACTTCTGGATATCCCTGCCCTTTGGAAATCTAGAGGCTACATAGGGTCTCCTGGGGACCTCCTCCTCTTTCCTCCCATTCTCCTGGAGGAGTTCATCCCTGCCCCAGGATATCACAGCGGCAGGCAATGTTTCCATCGGCCCCACTGTGTCTCTCCAGGTAGGTGCGTAAAAGAACCCATCACCAGGTGACTAGTTAGCCTCTTTACCAAAGGGCACATCCCATCCCATCCTCAGAGAAAAAGGTTTAGAAGAATAAGTGCCCCAGAGACAGAATCTACACATTGGGTTAAAGTCACACAATGGCACAAAGAGCTGGGGTAGAAAGAAGCAGAGTACGGGGGACAAGACAGAGAGGGAAGTGGCTTGGCACCTATCACAGACTCTTGGGTACTTAAAACACAACCTGCTGGCTCTCTTTCTTATTGTGGGTTTTTCAGGCTCCTTTGCCTGGTCATGCTAGATGGCTGAATTCTTGCTCCTAAGTCTTTCAACTGGAAGCGATGTAGAGCCAGGGAGAAAGAAAATCCAAAGCAGGTTGCTGTGCTTGTGAACTACCCTGATCAAGTTCTGATAAGTGAAGTGGTGAGGCTAAAAGTTCAATGGAGAGTTTCATCCTCTCTTCAGATTTTGATTTTGATCATTTCTACCCTCCCTTTAAAATAAAGAATGGAGGCTGAGACAGGAAGATTTCGAGTTCAAAACCACCCTCAACCACAGTGAGGCACTAAGCAACTCAGTGAGACCCTATCTCTAAATAAAACACAAAATAGGGCTGGGGATGGGACTCATGGTCGAATGTCCCTGAGTTCAATCCCTGGTACCAATACAAATAAATAAATAAATAAATGATATAGAAAAATGGGCTGGGAATGGAGGTGTGCACCTGTAATCCCAGGAGCTTGGGAGGCTGAGGCAGGAGTATCCCAAGTTCAAAGCCAGCCTCAGCAACTTACAATGCCCTGTCTCAAAATTGAAAAAAAAATTAAAAATGGGCTGGGGATGTGGATCAGTGGTTAAGCACCCCTGGTTTCAGTCCTTGGCACAATAATAATAATAATTTAAAAATAGAGGACAGAGAGTGGATCGAATTTGAATGTGTGAGGAGGATCTGACTGAATGAGCAGATGCATGCATGCTCCAAACACCAATTCCTCAGCCTAAAGTTCCCCCATAATTTCATTCCTCCTGACCAAACTGCATAAAGCAGGCATAAGAACAGAGAGAAGCATGCTTTTAAAAATAGATCTGACTTAGTAGTCTTTAAATAACCAAGGATTATGATATGGGAGGGGACTACTTTGCATCTCCTTCTCAACGAAGAACAGAACTGCCTCGAAGCTAAAGTGATTTGGGGTTGCTAAGAAAGATGTTCTAAAAGGTAAGAAAACTGCTAAACCAGATAAATATCTTTTTTTGAACTACCATCTTATTTGACTAGGATGATTATTGAAATATAGCCTACCTTGACTCCTAGGGGTAGAACAAATCCTCCGTATCTAGTGTGGCCCCAGCCCAGCAGCACGGGGAGCTTGTTACAGTGCAGGCTCTCCTTTTGAACAAAGTGTCCAGGTTAAGTATGAACCTGAAAGACTGAAGCACTAGGCTCAATGACCTTCTCAGATTTCTCCTCCTTGAGGACCTGATGAATGTCCCCTAGGGTGAGAGGTTGGGTAGCCCCGCTGTGGAGGAGGCCCTTGACTGCTAAGGCAGTCTGAGGTGCACTGGTGTCCCCTCCCATGCCACAGCTTTCCACATGTCTGTGTTTCCAGGTCACCTTTCTCCTCAGCCACAATGGTACCACAGCTGCCGGTCCCTGAACACATACCAGACTCCCCACAGCAAATTCCTGGCAAACCACAGTGTGTAAGAGATCATCAGTGCCTTCCTCGGAGTCGTGGATGACTCCCAGAGCAAGGACAGTGTACAGTCCAGTAGTTTGTGCAACTCCTACTCTCCTGTCAGTTGTGAGGGCCACCCGTGTTATGGTTTGGAGGTGAGGTGTTCCCCAAAATTCACATGTGAGACAGTGCAAGAAGGTTTAGAGGAGAAATGATTGGGTTATAAGAACCTTAACTCAATCAGTGAATCAATCCCTTGAAAGGATTATCTGAGTGGATTATCTGGATTAACTAAAGGCAGGTCGGGTGTGGCTGGAGGAGGTGGGCATGGGGGTGTGTGTGGCTTTGGGATATATATTTTGTATCTGGTGAATAGTCTCTCTCTGTTTCCTGATCATCATGTGAGCTGCTTCCCTCCGCCACACTCTTCTGCCGTGATGTACTGCTTCACCTTGAGCCCCAAGGAATGGAACTAGTTGCCTATGGACTGAACCTCTGAAATCATGAACCCCCAAATATACTTTTCCTCCTCTACAGTTGCTCTGATCAGATCTTTTAGTCGCAGAGTGAAAAAGCTGGCTAGAACAATCTGTATACCTCCCTACTCATTCATCTGGGGGCCACTGGACTGGAAAGGGTCCTCATCTGTTAAAGAATCAGAAAGCAACTCATATTTGCTATAAAGTGTTAAAAAGTTATTGCATAAATTATTCATAAATACAAGTGAGAAAAAGAGCACCCAAATCTAATGTGAGGGTGGAGGGGGTACTCAAAATATGGCCAACAACCCCCTATCAATCTACTTCAGAGGCATGCACGGGGGAGTATTTGCTGAGCTGTGGAGGTGAACTACTATCTTAGCTCAGGCCGTCCTAACAAAATACCATGGACTGGGAGGTGTAAACATCAGATGTTTGTTTTCTTACAGTCTAGAGAGACTGGAAGTCCAAGATTCAAGTGCCACCAGATTCAGATCTTGGCAATGACTCTCTCCTTGGCTTGGAGATGGCTGCTTTCTTGTTGAGTCTTCCCATRACCTGTCCACAGTGTATACCCATGGAGAGAGAGAGAAAGCAAGCTCTGGTCTCTCTAAACCTCTCTTATATGGGCACTAATCCTATCACGGGAGCTCTACCTCAGGACTCATGGAAACTTAATTATCTCCTTAAGGTCCTCCCTCCAAATACATTCGCAGTGGGGATTAGGACTGGAACTTGTAAATTTGGGAGGCACAGTCCATAACAACTACTAAAGTAATAGACTTCAAAGAGCCTGTTTTCTAATCTGTGTTTCTTAAGTTCTTGACTAATATTATTAGCATACTTTTAAGATTATATGTAATAAAAATGAAAACATTTTAATTTTGCATCTTTATAATTAATGCTATGGACATGCAATTCATTACGCTAAGGGCCTCTTGACATCACTGGGCTGTGGTCCCATGACCAGATCAAAGAGGAGCTGCACGGAATATTTACTGGCAGTAAAGAAAGCAGTAGAGATCAGGGGCTCCAGAGTTAGAATGAGCTGGTTCCAATGTGATTCTATGCCTTCCTACCTGTGACCTTTACAAACTTTGATTTCCTAGTCTATGAAACGGAGAGATTTAGTGTTCCTTTCATCATTAAGTATCGTTATAGAGTCATTGTGGGGATTAAATTAAGTAACACATGAAAATCCCTGTCACTAAGTAGACATTGAATACACTGTAGCTATTGCTATTGTTGCAGTTGATATCATTAATCATGATATTTATACTTCCCGGCACATATGTGTTCTTTCTGCTATCAGCCTGATACTTCCAAGGAGCAGGGATTAAGATTCTCTCAATAGACTCCCTCTCACCTTCCTGAGTGTCTTCTGCTTATATCAGGGTGCACCCAGTCCTTGGAGGGCACAAGAACCATTGTGGCCACTTGCCTGCTTATTGGCCCAGAGAACTCCTCCAGAGTCCTGAGCTCCCAATAAAACTTGCAGCACAAGTTAGGACTTGTTTTATAGGAAGCCAGGAGTCACCCCACCCTGCTAAGACTGATCTCCACTTACACTTTGAGGGTTACACCCTGCCCACCTCCCTTTACATAATTCTATCCATGAGTGCACACGTGTTGCATTAGTCAGCGTTCTTCAGTAGAACAGAACCAATAGAATATATATATAAAATTATAACAGGATATTTATTAGACTGGCTCACATGTCAGAGGCTGGATAGTCCCACAATGGTCATCTGCATGCTGGAGAGTCAGAGAAATCAGTAGCTGCTCAGTCTAAGAACCTGGAAGCCTTTAGTAACAGAGAGACCAATCGTGCAGTCCCAGTCTGAAGGCTGAAGGGACTGAAAGCCCCCTGAGAACAGCTGATATAATCTGTGTTCATAGCCTAAAGAATCTGGAGTGCTGTCCACAGGCAGCAGTGGCAGAAAAAAAAAATGTACCTGTTCAAGAAGGGTTGAGCATGCACGTGTGTGAGATTTACCTTTCTTCCACTTTTTCTTCCATGTGAACCCCAGCCTGCTGCATGATACCACCCATGCTCAGGGCAGATCTTCCCCACTTGTTTGCTAACCCCCATGCCTCTCTTTAGAAGCACCCTCACAGATGCACCAGAAGGGTCCTCTATCAAGTTTCTAGGTGTCCTTCAATCTAGTCAAGTTGAAGACCAAGATTAAGGATGCATATCATGCAAAGGCCTTGAAGGCCATGATCTTTCTTTCATTTTGACTTTCATTTCTGACAACAGGCACTTTAGAATGTGCCCAGAATTTCAAGGATGGGTCCCTTTCACTCTTCCAGAATAGCAAGAAATATCATTTCTACCCTGCCCCTGTGACCCTATCCATACTTAGTGACATCAAAATTTATTGTCCTACATCCGTGGAAGACCCCCATCCCCAAAGTCCTCATCCCAATGCCTTGGACCAGTGCTCTTAAACCAAAGGAATGGCTTGGCCTGCTGGGTAAAGACCTGGAGCACTGCTCCTCTCCTAGATCCACTCCCAGTCAATCACCTAGTTATCTCTTCCAGGAAGCTTCCCATCTTCTTTCCCATGCCAAAATGGGCTAGGGGCTATTGAGCTCCAATGAGCTCACGTAACACTCTGGCTCACCTCTGTCATTCCCCATTGTATTGCCATGATCTGTTTCCCTCTGCTTCCCACCCTAAATTGAGTTCCAGGAGGACTGAGACTGAGGATGCGTTCTTCATCTCTGCATCCCCAGCACTTAGCACTGTGGCTACTACCAAGTGAGCATTGATACAGTTGAAAGAAAGGGGGGAGGAAGAAAGAAAAACAAACTTAGGAAGTAAGAAAGGAAAAAAAAAGAGGGGGTGGTGCTGGGGATATAGCTCAGTTGGTAGAATGCCTGCCTAGCATGCACAAGGCCCTAGGTTCAATCCCCAGCACCACAAAAAAAAAATTAAAAAATAAAGGAAGAAAGTAGTAGAAAAAAGGGTGAAAGAATAAGGAGGGGAAAAAACCTGCCTAGGAAGAAGGAAATAACAACAGGCTGGATGGAATTCTGCAGAATTCCCAGTGGCACGGACCAGTGAAGCTAAAACCCATCCTCCTCTATATTTAATCTTTCAACTTCTCCCTCCCTGTTATTAATATAAAAATGGAATGGGTTTATATGAACTCATTAAAATCGTTGGCTAAATAGTCATGATGGTTCCTGGAGCCCTGGGTCATCAGCAAGCCCTATAAAAATACTTTCTACTGACAGCAGGGCATAAAACCATCATCAAACACAAACACTGAACTCTTTCCTGGTCACAGATACAGGCTCCACTCCATGGCCAAGGTCAGTCACTTCTTTTGTGTACATGAGTCCTCCACAGCTGACAAAAATTTCCACATACATCCATGAAGATGGGGAGAGGGACCAAAAAGCTCTTAGGAATTCACTGGTAATAATCACCTTATAGGTATTGGCACAAGTGAAGAGAGGAAAAGGCCCAGAAAAATAAACAGCAAAACAGAACAGCCAGATAATCAAGAAAGTATCCATGTGTGTACACATACATACACACTCAACAGTTTAACTTCCCTAATAATGTTTTGCACAGATTAATAATTAAATGGCCTTGTGTGTTTTGAATAGAAGCCAACTCCTCGGCAAGGAGAGGTGACAAAGGAGCATATCAACGAGGTCAACAGGAATGAGTTAGCCAGTCCACCATGCAGATAATCTAGAGATTCTTGAGTTCATTCCCTCTATTTCTCAAAAGTTTTGTTTAACTCATCATCTGTTTTTAACTCAAAATTTTGTTAAACTCAACATTTTAGAGATGGATTAGAGATGGGGTATGGAGAAAGTTTCCTATATAAATTTTGGCCTATTCCAGCTAATCTAGTCAATACAGAATAGAGGCAATCATCCGACCCTGAAACCTGAACCAAACTTTATTGGTTGTATTTGGAGAACAGCTTCCCTGAGCTTTTGGATSTAAACAAAGCATCTTCTCCCTTCAGCAGAGCGTGTCTTCTATAAATTCCCTGCCATCTCTCTTAACAGAGTATTTCTCACGATTTGCTTTGTGATCAGGAATTTTGTTACGGATTGTAGAAATCATGTGGGAGTTATCTTCCAAGGTACTGGGAAAATGAGTGTAGGAAAATCTAATCTAGTATAGATGACTTTAAAAATAATGTTGAATGTCAATCTTGTCTCTAGGATGAGCAGAAGATAAAAATTAAAATTAACAGAGTCCAAAGGAGCCCGACTAGTGCTCAGGGAGGGAAGGTGGGGAAATGGGAAAGGAGATCATGGAGGAAGAAGGTGTCCTTGGACTCAGTGGGGAACCAAATCAAAGAAAGGCAGGTGCTTCCCAGGAGAGCAGAGTCTTGGGAGCAGGTGCCTGCTCAGGCTTGTCCCTCCACACTCTATGCCCTTTCTTCCTCCTTCCCGCCCTCCTTTCTTTCCATTCACTTTTATTGACCACCTGTGTGTTAGATCCTGCATGGGGAGTGGGTATAAAGATAATAGAAGAGCCCTTAACCTCAAGT